CAGCAGGATTCCCAAATTTGAATTTGCATCAAGAGATTTGTGAAGGAGATGCACAGCTATACATGTTTCATAGCTTTGGCTTTAATTTCTTGTAAATATGTTGGTGAAGTCGCTGAAAGTGGAATTATACCAATTTCAGGGGGGAAACAGTTTTCACATTAGTCACCACTGATCTACAGGTCAGTTTGAATTCACATTCTCAGACAAAACACCAGCAAAACAGTAAAGTGACATGCTTCACAACAGCTCAAAGTCACCTCCAAACGTAGCAACACAGTAGGAAAAGCACCAGCTGACCCAAAATCAGAAAGCTAAAACACCAGAGCAACTTCTATATCTATGACAGTGACAGCACAGCCTCTAGAATTAGACACCACAGAAGCTAAAGACACAGCATGGTTAACACAGTGCATGTTACAAACATTGAAGAGCACACATCATGGCGACAACTTACAGGCACGTAAAGTGGCTGAGCAATCATTTACAGAGACAGCAGAGAGTGGGATGTCACGTTGAGGGGAGTCCACGTTACAACGAACATTAACTGGCATGCAAGAGCAGTCCTGCTCTGAGTTTCCGCAATCAAAACAACATGCCAGTCTTATTTTCTTGTAGGCGGGCGTCTTGGCTACAGTCATGGGTTCAGATGAGAGGAGAGGAAGAGCAGGTTAATGCTGAGGGTTGCTCTGGAGGAAGAGTGGACAAAGGCAAGACAGGGCACAGAGGAAGGCTGCTGCTGGGATGCACAGTATAAACTTTGTCTTGACAGCATACAAATGTCAGATTCAGAGGGCTGAATTTGTTTTGTTTTTTCCAGTCTGGGTCACTTCTGGTACTAGTGAGGGAAATATCATGAGGTAGTAAGGTCATGTGGTTTTGGGGTAAAAATGTGACATGAGTGAGGGAGAGTGGAGGGGCAGGTCATGAATTTCTTTTGCAGAAGAGGCACGAGTTCCCTCTCAACTACTTGACTTGACTCCTCATCTTCATCCCAGAGAAACTGTGCAATAACCTCGGTGAATTACACACTTTTTGGTTATGTGTGATTTAGTCCTTTTTTGATTTTCTTGTTTTTGTCAAAGGACTCTGGTGACATCTAGTGGTAATCTGGAGTATTACTAACCCAAGCTGGTGTTAATGAAATTTTGGGGATGATGAAACACATAATTACCATTTTTCAAAAAACTAAACAATAAATGTGTAGGGATTGTATGATGAACTGTTTCTCTTTTTGTCTCTCTGGGTTCTTTTTCAAAATTGTTATTGTTGCTCACTTTGGTCAAATGTTTTCTTCATTTGTTAGCACCGTGCACATGGCAATGGGGAGAATACCAGGCAGCATCAACCATTGTACATGCAACATTTACAGTGCATTCAACACGCTGCTTCAGTCAGGGGGAGCAGGCTGTTTTTTCGGAGGGGAAATTAAATCCAAATTACTCACAATAAATCACTATATAGTGAATTTTTAGCAAAGTGTGTGAAAAGTTCCCAAGTAGCAGGAAAAGAATACATCAAATGTTAGGATTAGCTGTTAAGACAAAACAAACTGCAGTAAATCCAAATAAAAGAACAAGAATGATGCTTTTAGACATGATCCATCTGGGTACCTGTGGTGTTAACAGTCTCTGTGAATGCCTGTTAACATCACAAAGTTATCAACAGCACAGACAGCTATAATTCCAAAGACAACACCACACATATACACAAACAGACAAAATGCACATTTAGATCCAATTCACAGGTGGTTGGAGAGGAGTTAACTGGCTTGATTGCTCATTTCTTTCTGTGTCTACAATAGATGGTAATCACAAGGAAAAGATAATGTGCTAACATCATGGAACAATTCTCTCTATTTTTGCTCTTGTCCAATAGAATTGCTGAAATGATAAAAAAAAAAGAATACTTAACCAGTTCAGTCAAATCCCTAAACAGTGGGGAAAGAAGGATCTCTCTCTCTCTCTCTCCCTGCTCCCTGTATACCACTGGAAAGCCATGTTTGGTAATTTCTGTGAAATGACCCTTTAATGGAGGCAGGTATTGATGTCATAATTGTACTTTTTACAAGGGAAAGCCTGCTTATTTTGGCTGTGGAAAGAAGTTTGCTGACCTTTCTTCATGCACAAGCACAGTTTTTATATGAATAAATAACAGGAACGAAGTGGAAAAACCACACTATGCAGGTCATGTGTACCATCATGCAGCTATACTAATGCTCTCAGAGCCGTATCACTTTAGTCTTTGAAGAAATGTGAATGTTGTGTTCATATGCTATCACTTACATTTCTTGCATCCACATTTTTTTATCCTTTTGGGGTCAGTGATGTCATCGTGACAGGCTTTACAGTAAAACAGTGCCCTGTAGAAGACAAATAAGAATCCACATTGCTAGGCAGCCGAGGACCAGGATGCTGAAATAAAGTGTCTACAGATATTCTATCTTCAATAACTCACACATAATGCATCAGTAATAATAGCAATGTAATATATGACAGTGCACCTCTTTTCTTTTTACTAATAATACTAATTTTTCAATGAAGGTATTTGGTAAAGGGGCATTTTAATGTCCAGTACTTCCAGTTACAGTAAGTAACATATGATATCATCCTCCCAAAGATGCCTGCAACAAATAGCTTCAGTTCATTTGTACTCACACTGGAACCAAAATTATTAACAAAAATGTTTGATGCAGACAGAAAGAATGCTAATATGAAGGAACTGGGAGAATCAAGTTACAATAATTTAATTTATTTTCAGTTGCTTTTTTTTTTTTTTTACAATTCAGACAAGCATTCAAGCAATATGTTGACACTTCAAGTAAAATGTGTCAAAAGGTGTATGAGCATTCATTAGGAATTGCAGTTCTATGGGTAAATGCTTTTCTTTCAAAGTAAATTAAAGAATGTGGACAGAGATTCTACACTAAGATTATAAAAACAGCTCGACAGAGACTTTACTTTTACACCCCATCCAGTCTCAGATCCCAATCATTACCTCTTCACTTCTTTGGCATCGCTGGCAATGAAGAAGCCCAAGGTTCCCTCCTGCATTTTAACATGGTTTCCCGGGTTTATCAGGGTGCTGTGAGGATTTATAGATCAAAGATTTCAGAGTGGAAAGTTATGTGACAGAATTTAAAGGCCTCTGCAGTCATCACTGGCAGTGGCACCTGCTGGCGGGATTAATTTTCACAGCTCATTTGGCAGGACAGCCTCTCTTTATTAAATTAAGCTGTCGAAAGCAAATAGCAGTGACAGTTCAAATGGTATAAAATGGGCATCAGTGCATTAGAGAAACTAATAAAACAAGGGCTCAGCTTGGGTCTATAGAAACCAACTGCCACCTCCCCCTTAAACTTGTCAGGATGTTATCGTACAACCCTGCGAACAAACCAATTTGGACGCTAATTTAGCACATCTGTAAAGCGCCTTGTGTGTGCAGTCAACAAAGAAGCAGATTCAGAGAGGCTTCATCAGTGTAAGGCAATACTAATACAAGCTCACCTGCACATTAACTCATAATTCACTCATAATTATCCACTGAGTCCATCCACTTACCTGCATTCCCTCTGATCAGACTTGTACTCTATAGCTATCAGTAGTAGCTTTAGCTTTACATAGCAGAGTCTGGAAAAAATAACAATATGATTAGACTTCAAACAAGCTAAATATTTGTACTTTTGATGATGATCTTAGCTTTGAGTGCCATCTTTTTCTACTCTGATATGCATGTCAACTAATAAATCAGGTAATATTTTATATGTCCCATTATCTTCATGACATAATTAAATATTTTCATCTGATAAATGAAAATAAGCGAGCACTGCTGTCCCCAGCCTCTTTTGAAATACTCCTAGAGTCCCATGCTGCTGTTTGCATACCTTCACCCTAACAGAGCACCCTACATTTAAAGGTTTTAAGCTGCTATGTGTTCAAAACCCAAAGCGGTAGAAAGGAAAACTAAAGAGAAAGACATCATTCATTTAAAAAAAAGTTTCAGTAAACTTACTCGCAAATTACTGGGAAGGACAAGCCCACAAAGGCACTCGACAAGTACTCAGTGTACATCTCATTGGCTACTCCTTCCAGGTAGTACTTCTGCCATGTGTCCTCCTCAATCTACAACAAAGATTAGTGGATAAAAGACAGACAAGGTTGTACATCACATGTTTTTTTTTTTACAAGTTCATCCCCACCCACTCACCAAATACAGTGCATGTACCATAGGCCTCATGTTGCATAATCATCATGATCTATTTAGACTATGTTTTAAACTTAATCCAATGAGCACAGATGGAGGAATCTTAGCTTTAGCTACCTTAATGAAGGACCTCATGGAGAACAGGTTGGCCAGCATAGTGGACAGGCCTTGAGCCAGGCAGCTCTGGGCGATGAAGCCAAGCTTCAGCTCCGCAAGGCAAATGGCATCATCTCCCTCCTTCCAGTTCCAGCTTGGGATGTACAAAAGATGGGCCTAAGGGAAGAAGAAAAATCCATGAAGGTGCATGGTTTCCCAGCATGGTTACAAAAGATTAGGTATTAACACCTAAATTATGTCAGTGCAAACTTAACCAAATACAGATACCCATATTAAATGGCTAAAACACAGCAGTAACAAACATCTCATGACTGCTGATGACTCCAGAAAGAATACTAACCTTATTGTGGTACTGCAACATTTGAGTAATTATTCTGATCTTTGGATGGTAATTCTTGATAGATATTACCCTGATATAGCACAAAAAGGACAAAACAATTTCAGAACACAAAAGACTGTCAGAACTATGTTAATGTCAAGAAACATGCTATGTTTGTCATGCATCTATCATACCTTATGATTTCATAACTGGTTTAGCTTAGCATTTAAAAACCCTTGCTGCAAATTGCCTTTAAGCTTTTGTGCAACTAACAAATAATAAATAATGCAATTTGTTATTTATAAAAGTTTTTTTTAAATTGTCTTGTGATTTATTTTTCTTGCTTAAAGTGGAAGGGTTTGTACTCTCACATATTAAGACCCTTTTAATAACTTCAGGTTCCCCATTTAAAATTCCCCTGGCACCAAATCCACTTCTTCCTAATAGACCATATAACCAAACAAAAATACACAAAACAAAACAAAACCTTGGAGAAGCTGCTTTGGTTTGTTTACCTCATGATGTTGGATGCATCCTCAGCATCAGGGTCAGCACAGTATTTATTGGCTAAGATCAAACAGGCGTCAGCTGATTCAATCTGGAAACAAACACAAAAGCATCCAATCAACAAAAAGCTGTAACCAACAGTATTTTATAGATTAAAGATTGAAAAACAGCACAGCTGCCCTCAGAGTCTGAGTTACCTTGACTCTGGCCAGGTCATGTGGGTTTAGGACAGACCCTTGGTAGAACTCCACCTGGGTGAAGTGGCGCTTGAACAAGGCTTCCAGCTCAAGATTAGGGGAAATACTGAGAGAAGCAAGAGAAACTTTTACATGTGAGGAGAAACCTTATTTCTACTGGTTTGGTGATTTTTTTTTCCCTTTAATTTCAGGGACACTGGTGTTTTGTACTTACTTATGGAGAAAAACAATTTCTACATTGACATCATCCCTGTCCTTGTGTAGGAAGTCTTTAAGAAAGTTGGACACACTCTCAAGTGTTATATGACCACAGACCACGATGTGCCTAGAAAATGGAGGTACAGAACAATAATGAAACTAAAACATAGTCAGTTGATTCTTTTTCATCTTTGTCCTGGAATCACAAGTTTAAATCTGAGGGATGTAATGGAAAGGAAATCAGTAGTGTTATATTCAGGCAAATGATTCAAAATCTGTGTGAAATGAAAATTATGGAGGGTTGTTTGAGGTTCCTGCATGTGGAGATTGTGTGAAAACTGGCCAGACAACACTGGGGATTTCTGGTGACTGTGATTATAAAGAATCGGACTTTACTTTGATGGAGATTATGAAATCAGTACACAGCATATCTCAGTTCCCACTGATCACAGATACAGGTTAGATTCCTCTCTCTCTTTTCTGAACATTTCACCTGCAAGAATCAGATTTTTGTTAAGGCGGAAGTGTTGCATTGAAGTGCATACAATTGCATAGCTGCACAATTGTCTCTTCCTCATGTCTTCTATTAAATCAGTGGTACAGCAACCACATAGTGAGCACTATTAGGGCTGCCTCTTAATCCTTACTTTCCTTTGATCTGATATTTGCTTTATTTTGTCTTAATTAGGAAATTTCTCCACTGTACAAATACGACTTTGTAGGGTGTGAAAGAAGAGAGCAAATACTTGATTTACACATAAATAAGCATCTTACACATACAGTAACACCACAAAACATGTAGGACTTTCTCATGGTAGAAAAAATGTTTAATAAACTGTGTTACATCAGTGAGCTAGTGGGTGAAGAGATCTCTCCTACCACTTACTGTTTTGAAATATTTAGAGGGGGCACTGTAATTTTGCCCCCATTCCTTGGAGAGCGTTCATGACACTGCTCAGAATGACAATATTATTAGATTAGATTACATTACATTACATTAGAGTTATTGCACTGACTTGTGTAATTGCCACTTGTGGCCACAGGGAGTGCAGTTCAGTAACGATTGCACAAGCTCACATTAAGCTGTTGCTTCAGTGATAAGGTGTCTACACAGACTACCTTCTTTCCCTTTAATAAGAGGCTGTGGTTTAATCAATTTCCCCACAGATCAAGAAATAATTTTTTATAAGTCGGACACAGTTTAAATCAGTGAGAAACTCCTACAGGTCCCATCGTTTAGTATGACAGCAGTGGATCTACTGCAAATGACTACACTGCAAAAGTATCTGCCCTACCAAGTAATGTTTGTCTGTTTCTGAGCTCATAAAATGGTCCTTTCATAAAAATCTGTTTAAAAAAAGTGCCAATAAGGTTACCTCAAAATGCTTTCAATGTGTGTCAACTTTTTACAAGAGTTTACCAGAATCTGATCCTGACATTATCAGTAATTTCTACAAATGTTTGAAACAGATGAAAATCATCAGGCTGCACTAGCGGATTTCTTCACTTGTTTTATGAAAATAATACTTTTAAGGCTCATTATAAAAGTTTTTTTTTGCAGTGTAAATGCATACATTTACTTATCTTTCATGCCAAGCAGCAATGACAACTTGTACACATAAAAAAATAAAAAAAAATAAAAAATAGCAGCAGCAATACAGTACAATAAACTCTACACATTAATCATGAGCAAGCTCTGCAGTCACAGTGTGAATTTAGTGCTAATTGAGATCATTATATCTCAAATGACAGTTTAATGGAATCCATTTAAACAAAGATTAGAGTATGCCACCTCTTCAGGAGAGGGCCACTCGAGTCACACAAAACCACACCATTAAAATGTTGCTGTTTTTCATTTGCTTGACTTACTTTCTGCCTCTGGTTGAGTTATAGCTCCCTCCATATTTCTTCCGATTAAGGATGAGAGCAGCGATTTCTGGCACATAGCGAGCAAACATAGCCTACATGCATGAAAAAGAAAAAGAAAAGGGCATGCAGAGAAGGTTCTACTGCGACGGAGGCAGTAGATCCTCCTCAAATACTTACTTTCTTCCATTAACCGCACTATAGGAACCACCATATTTCTTGCGGTTTCCTATTAACTCTATGATTTCAGGGACGTAGCTTGCAAACATGGCCTAAAGAAGAAGATAGGAGACAGAAGGAGAGACTAAAAAAAGGCAGGCAAAGAAAAGCAGGCCTTCTATTTTTATTTTAAAGAAATGTGCAAAGGGAAACACTACTGTACGTGCAGGAGTAATTATTAAACAGGAAAAAGTTAAAGAACATAAGAAATGTTCAGTTTGTTCAAATTAGTATTGACTGATTTTATATTACGTTTTCTTAGTACTTGAAATGTGACTGTATGAAAATGAAAAAGGAAATTATGAGGCCAATATTTATGGGTATTGGAAGAAAAGAATAAAGGAGAAAAGGTCAGCTGATTAGCTGTATGTTGATCTATGTAGAAAAATAAAAATGACAGAACTTGAGAAAAAGTCTTATGTGCCATGTTTCGTCCAACAAACACACATGTGGGGTTGATCTGGATAGCACAGCCACATGGATGAAAGACATCAACTTATCTCAAGTCAACACTGCTGCACAAAGAACTGAAGGATTTATTTTTTACTGAAGTGTCTGCAATATGTTTATCAGCTTTACAAACCAAATGTGAAAAGTGACATTTTTATTACAATGATATTGATGTTTATTAGAGTGAAGTCCAGAATTACAGTGCATTTTAAACATTTACTGTAAAATCAACAATAACGGCTGCTACGCATCTGAAAATGTGGATAGTTTTGTCATTTTGATACTAACTGCCACCAAGTTAATCAATCAGATGGAAACATTCTTGTTGTTTTGTGCAGCCATTACATAAATGTCTTGGAACATTTAAAATCTCCAGTAAAATTTTAAATAAAATTCTGTGGGTTTGAACAATGTTAGGCTGCAGACTCTCAATACTGAAGAAATCACTTCTGTCCGTTTATCTGAAACATCGTATACATTACAAATCTAAAACTTTATTGATTAGAATTTTTTTCTCATTAATCAAAAACAGTTAACTGTGGTTTACTATGAGATACAGTATATATACCCCAAATGTCACTTACTGTACATCACAGTTACGCTCAACTTATGAACATGCTGTTTAATCCTGTCCTGAATAATACCCGATCCTAACAACAGCATCGTCTAAATGACCTATGGCCTCTTACTTTGTCAAGCAAATCAGGTCTGTGGTAAAGCCCAGAAAAGATTTTATTTTTTCCAGTTTCACCTTATCAATTTATAAAATCCTGATCAGGTTTATTCCCAGAAAAGCCTTCAAATACTTGTGCAGAAATGTTGCTACATCCATAAAGCAGGCTTATAGTAAATCAACCTTGTATAATTGTGTTTGTTGGAAAGAGGGAGGGGAGTCAGGAGGGTGGAGCCACCTGAAACCGCAGCAGTTTTATAGTTAACAAATGTAAAACCTCACAAATGTTCTACGTCATTCAAGTAAACAGTAAAACAAATGTTCAACATGATACATTAATAAATTACACAATAGTGCAGACAACTCATATAATACATGACATGCTACATACTGTGAAGTGGTGAGCCACATATACACTGCAGTGTAAACAGTGTCCTGATGTTTGCTAACACCTGCCACAGTGTGATGACTGGTTGCATGGAGAATTTTAAGCGGGAATAGGTAATGAGTGGGATTTTTACCAAACCACCAAGGATGAAGAAGACCATGAACAGGCGGCCCAGAGTGGTTTTTGCATAAACATCCCCATAGCCAACAGTGGACATCGTAACCATGAGTAAGTAGACACATTCCCAGTAGGAAAGTGCCTGGTAATTTGTGAAGTTTTCCCAAGGATCCCCTGAGTTTTCCACCTGGAACAGAGGTCAAGATTTATACAATCATGAAAACAAACACAGTACAACACCACTTTTAACTATGACTTCAATAATAAACATATAATTAAATTTATACATTTATGACAACTTCACGTGTACCTAATAAAGTGGCGGGTGAATGTATATCTCACTAACTTACCAAATGAATGAAGCCTGCTGCAGTTAGCCATGTGCTTATGAAGATTGAACACAAGTTCACCAGCTTTATTGAGTTGCTATTAAGAAAAAGAAGAGCCAGAAAACAATGTTTGGGTTGCTTCACTGGTCTCAGAAAAACACCCAGTCCAAGATGATAAAACACATGATTCAAGATTTAGACATAGACATATGCTCTAACATGCGTCATGTCGAGTTCATTCATTCATAATGGAGCAAAGAGTACAATGTGAGAAAATGTTAAAAATGATAAAATGTCATTATCCGCAGTCCGAGTGTGAGGCAGCACAAACACAACTACGTGCAACACAAACCAGTGCTCTTGATGTTACTAAAACTGCAGCATCTACACTATTTTCACATATCATCATTAATGTGTATGGAATTACAATACAGTGCATGCTTTGCTCGTATTGTGGACAGCCATAAAAGATATCGTAACGTGGCTCTATTTACATTTCCACAAAAAACTTTCATTACAGGCCATTAAAATATCATTAATGCCAATGTACACACATGCTCTTTGCACTCTGTATTTAGGATGTTTAGATGCAGGGTTGTTTACTGTATATAATACTGTATACAGTATATTTCCTACTGTGGAATGAGTCCCTGCATGACCTCTGTCTTTACCTTCATCCGAATGGGTGAGACAGATTATTCTACTGTAACCTTTTCCTGACATCTGTGCAAAAAGCTTTAATTCTAAGCTGTGAAGAAAGAAACAGAAAACTGTTTCATTCACGGTTGTATCATACTAATATAGTTTGCCCAGTGAACATACACGTTACTGCCTTGTAAATTAACTACAAGCTACGTCATCAAATTAAAGTTCTCATGCTGTGCTAATATTATGTCAAGCAAAATATTGCATATAAAGATCGATCTCCCCCTTCAAAGTATTGTAAACTTATGTCAATAAAATGAGTCACTGCGCTATTTCACATTGCCACAAACATTACAGCCTGCCACACTGACAAAGGGTATCAATACACTTACCTCGTCTTTAGGATATTCAGAAACTGTAAAATTTCTGAGAACTGTATCAGTCTTAAGGCCCTTAAAAACCTCAAGCCTGCGAGGAAAAAAAGACCATAAAGAAATGTGATTAATATCAGTTCAGACAGCATCAGGGGCATTTGACCGTGGTTTAACAAGAACATCGTACCTTTCATACTTTTATCCATGTTTATCAGCTTCATTGGACTCATATTGGTACAAAACCCCTCCAATTCAATATTAAATATACAGTGTATTATTTAAAAAAGCATTTTGGAAGAGACACACTCTACCATCACAAATCTCTCTTCCTGAACTCATAACACTGTTTTAATCTCAGACACCTCACAAAGTACCACCATCCACCTGATACATGTTTCATTTCTAAAGGGAAATAAACTTTGAATGTAGAAGAGTTGACAACCTGGATTAGAACACGGACAGGACACAACCACACAGGACTGAATGAGTAAACAGATGTGATGGTAAATCATAAATCTGAGGGTGTTCATGGGAAGACAAAATGAAGCCGGTGTCTGCTGCCAAGAGTTTAAGGACTGAATGATACTGACAAACATCTGCAGGTAGTGACATAACTAGCCTGAGCTTCTGAACATGATGACTACGTGTTAAACCACAACCTCATTATAACCAGTTTACAGCTGTTTCTGTCCAAACAGTTTAGACACTGATTATAGTAAATCACCACCTCTACAAAAAACAGCAAAATAACATTTTTTTCTTTATGTTTAGTCACATTGGTTAATGTGATTAATTTATAAAACTAGGTGCTGAAAGAAACATCCCAATTGGGTATAAAAACCAAATGATTCACAGGCCCAGCTCAGTTTGAAAAAAAGCTGCATCCACTACAGTGTCTGTGCTGCACAGACTATTAAAAACCACATGTGAGTGAACAATCAAGTAAAATCCATCCTGACAGGCATTTATCAGGCAGACAAATTTTCCTACTGGAATAGATTTGTGTGAAGACCAAACGATACGAATCGAAGGTGTCACAGGCAATCATTCAGTAAAAGGCTTGCAAATAATCTTTTTTTTGAAATGACGTGAATTGTGGTGTGCCTCACCAAAGCGAGCGCTTGCCAGATGGGGAGCATAATGCAAAGCAAATCCTGAACCTGAACCTGCTCCAGCTGACACACACTACAGAGTCCAACGAGTTCTGGACACACCAGCCTTCACCTTGTTCCCACACCCTGCAGATCTTACCCCAGTAGGAGATTACATGGAAGCATGCACCAAAACTGTAGCTGATGCCATCCTGGTCCTCTTTGATGCTGATGTGCCTATGGCCAGTCCTGACCCTGTAACCCTTCTGGAATAGCTCCCCAGTCGATTTCTTGCGCCTTCTTGTGTTAGAAATCATATGAGTCTGTGCGTCTCCATCAGGCCTCCGGTACACTAACATTTTAGTGGGAATCATGTCTGAAAATCACTTTCCAATGTAAAGTCCAAAACCTGCTTCACATACACGCCAACTACTCTGCATCCAAAAAGCCAAAAAACTAATAAAAAAATAATCAGGCACTTTTATGATATTTGAACCCAACAGGTTGGCATCAAAATGTGTCATCAGACCGTCACAGTACCCTTGGGGCAATCGAATGCATCCAGCGAGCTTAAAGCAAACCCATTTCCCATCAGGATATTAGAGTGTAAGCTCCTTTAGGATTCATCCAGGGAAAGGAAGGGGCCAGACAGCGAGTCTGTCCATCAGCTGGCTTCACAATGTAACGTACATCTCATCCCTATACACCCACAAACGCTCTTGACAAACCAAATTTCATCCTCTAATCTCAAACAAGACCAGTGTGTATCTCTGTCTCACATTTATGGCAGAAAACAAGTCATGTGAACAGCCAGTGGGACTGCGTATGAAAAAAAAGAGAAGCTTTGGCAATCATTGTGTTTTTCTATGGGTTTAGTGATTCGGGAATAATCCCTAAATTAATCACAGCTGATGTAATAACCGCTATTTTATTTGCTGTTTAAACCAACTGTGCAGCACGAAAAATGTCACGGCAAAGGGAATAAAAAATTCACAGCTCACCAAGATCTAAATCTGCAAAGTCCATTAAATCTGAAATGTGAATTCAAGTTACTCACTCCTGTTATCAAAATACCTTTATAGCAGTGGTTCAAACAAAATATCTTTTCCTTCTTTCAGAGTTTTATTTGAAAATTTTAGATCTTAAGTTTAAGCAATGATTAAGGAAAAGTATGAAAAATGTACATTATGTCAGAATGTCTCATATATTCATACAATTTCCTAAAAATAGCAAGTATAAATGCAATTATAAATTCTTATGAAGGTTTGTGGTATATATACTGAAAATTGAGACTGAATTTTCAGGATTTTTCAGGATTAATGTAACAAGAAAGCTGAAAAACAACTGTCTCTGCAACACAAAGTCACATTAATCTAGTCAGACTGTCCTCTGATTTTTTCCCCTTGTTTTGCTTATTCAGAATTCTACCAGGCCTTCAAATGACAAATAAATAGAACTGATCACCACTGGTTAACCTGCATCCAGTGACATGGAGCCGTGAGGAGACACTGATTGAACTGGTCACGAGTCAAAACGAGATGGGAGGTCAGCTAAACAAAAAAAACTACATTACATCTGAACATATATTGAGTTTAAGGTCTAGAAGCTGCTAGCATGTTTATTAGCTGCTGCATATTGTTTCTACACAACATCCTAAATGTGTCATGCTTACGTCCACAAGCTGGTCATGCATCTGTGAGCGTGTTAGTTGAAGAGAATATTAGAGCACATTATGTGTATGTGTGTCAAAATGTTCTGACTGGAGGATTGGCAGCTTCGCTGAGTGTCCTGCAGGAGTGTTGATCAGAATTGGGAGCTCAACAGCTGTGAGCGGACGCTGCTGAGCTGGTTTTGACCTTATCACCCAGTAAATCAGTTACTAAACCTCCACCTCCATTGCTTACTCACCACACTGGCTGGGATGATGTGTGACAGAGAATGATTTCCACTGACATTTGCTCAAAATGTTGTAAACTTGGATACAACATCATTCTTTTTAAACTTGTGCTTTTGCTTCTGTGCTATGTAAAAACAAATGATTTCACTCTATAAATTATGTGAAAGCCTGTACTGTATATGTGCTGCTCTCTCTGACAGCTATTTTGATTTCTGTGGAATAGAGTAGACAGAAGAACTGCACAGTAAACATGAGCAGTGAGAGCCACATGAGCAACACCTACACAAGTGGTACAAACAGAATGACATTACAGCACACTGCGTTCGAGTTGGGAACTCTGCCAAAATCTCTTAGAGCACAATTTTAAGAGTAACATTTTAAGAATAATGGAGAAGTAGATCTCTAATACCTTGTTTTGACTAAACTCCATCCTCTGTAATATAACATCAATGAACTAAAACCAAAACCAGCATTACACTCTGCAGCTGAATTCACCCTCAACTTACACCTTTTGTGTACACTTTTATTTTTTGGCTGGTTTTATATCATTATATTTCTGTCTCTGAATCCAAACATTATGGAAACACAAAACCAAAATATAGTTATAGTGCTTGAGCAGAAATGAAAGAAAAGCACCATCTCTGCAGTACAGCAAACACACCATGCCTGCAAATCATCCAAAAATGTTGAAAACCAGACACATAAAAACTCAGAAATTTGGAACTTTGCATTACAAATGTCCACAAGAAAATACAGAGATTAGACGCAATAACAAAAATAACCACTCTTTACCACAAACAACAAGTACTGTTATTTGCACCAGTTACTATCAGAATAATGTCTAACAATGCAACTGCCAGTGATGTAAACGCCCCACACTGCTGCACCAATCTACAACATGTATATTAATAACAAAACCTCTAAAATAATTTGTGAACTCGAAACGCCAGCCACACTGAGGTCATGTCCACTAGATGGCACTAGCAACCAACATTAACCTCTACTTAGTGTATTTTCACACCACAATTTGCAGTATATCATCCCAGGGAAAACACACAGACACATTATGCACCTGTACGTATCATCTTGTAATTACACAGAGGCTGTTCACTACTGAAAGAGGTCCTGGTTGGCTACATGGCAGGTTCGTACCTTGGTTGACAGGAGAAATAAAAACAGCTATAAAAAACCTGTAATGCAGCAAAAAGAATTATTCCCCTTAATCCTCTAATTCCTCCCAGACCTCTCTGAGCGATGAGCCTCACACATTTAGCAGATTGACTTCTATTCTAGCACCTGAGGCCCCAACAAAGCCTATTACCTTTTCATATCCACTCATGTGCTTTTCAATCAGAGAGCACGATTTCATTTGAATGTTAATGCAGGTTTGCTGCAGAGGTGAAGAGCAGCACCAATAATGCAAAAACACATGGCCAAAGACAAAACTAACTTTCAAAAATAGCACACTATCAACAGCTGTACACTTTTGGACAATGCTGCCAAACAAGCATTATTTCAATAGGCAAAGCTCATAAAGCTTTTCAGTCACTGTGCTCATCAGTTTGCAAGCTGTGCTGTTTTTAATTTGAGCCACCATTTCCACGGTAATAGTGAGGATCATTCAAACTTCTCTTGCATGATGTGCAACATCCCAACATACTGTAAAGTTAATTTCTGGGCAAAATTATCAGACTTATATGGCTACTATTACAGGTGTGCCAGTGTAAATAGCTACAAAAAAGCCAGATGTTCAGTTTTTGCAGCTTTGGCAACGTGCTGAGATTATCTGGTGCGTTCACTGACAACAGTTACACACAGTAAATCCACTGGGTGGCACCACAGGCAGTCGGGAAACATCCACTGTACATTGTGAAGTCTGTTAATCAGCCTGTGCATGTGTGTGAAGTGAGCATCCTTACCAAGCCAGCTCCTGTTCAAGTACACTGACACAAACACTGGAGGAACAGTGAAGAAGTCCACCACTGAGTTCACCTCCAGCCAGAACCACAGCTTGTCATTGGCAGCAATAAACTGTGGAAATGAATGGTTAAAGATGACATTCACCCCTTTTAGGTATAGAGGTAAGAGCACAAATCAACAACTTTAGTTTTACTTACACGGAGGCCGAAGTACAGCAGGAAGAATATATTGAACGCCATGTCGATCTGCAAGGTGAAGTCTTTGTAGAAGTTCTGACAGGACTCAATAGGACTGTTAGACAGAAACAAAGGATGCTAAAGTCCAAGAACAAGAATTGATAGCAAAGTAAAGAAAGTTGTACTAAAAATGAACATACAACAATAGTATTTCATGAAAAATGAAGCATAAAAGATGCATTCTTCTTTTCCTGAAAATGCATTTTTAAGATTTCCAAAGGAAGTGGAACATAAGTGTTCAAAATAAATTGCAATAGTTGAAACTTTCCAATGACTTTTTTTTCTGTTGAGAAAAAACATGCAATTATTGTCACACAAGCAATAGCGTGTTAATATATCTGATTAACCCTTAAATACTGTAACTGCAAAACAGTCTCTCTGAGAACATGTCGTATTCCAGGTGCATTATTACTGCATGTAATAAATTGTGCTGATTTCCTTTCAGGCTTGCATTTCCCATCTTACAGACAACATTTCAGGTAAATATTGAGTCAAACTTTATGGAAATGCAGAGCCAAAGCAGTAGTTTAAGGGTTAAAAGCATGCAGGGTTCAAGTCTTCTTTTATGAAATCAGGCAGCCATAGCAAATGCTAGCAATGCAGTGGAGTCTCACCCTCAAAAAGCTCGTATCTGGCACGAATAATTCAAATAAAGAGAGATAATTCACCAAGTAAATGGGAATGTAATAGGTTAGTATGATGCTGTAATAATATTCATGACCTGAAATATAAAAAATATCCTCTCAAAATATTACACACTCCTAAAATGAAAACACAGCTTTACATCCAAAATTCAACAAGGTTTATTAATAAATCATTTGAATGAATAACTGAGTAAAATGAATACAAATTAAAAGTACAGTAGGTTAGTGCTGAGGAGGTCGCTGCCACCCCTTTACAGTGGGTAGTGTGTTTTTCATGTTAGTCCTCCACCTGCAGGATCCCTACACTCACAAAAAATTCACTAATACGCTCCATATCACTCAACAGCTATCATCTCCCCTGTGCTGTTTAATACCACTCAGATTAAAGCAATTTGCTTTTGTTATGTAAAAAAAAAAAATCTAATAAACTTCCACTGATAAAACACTGCCCTCACAGAGTTCACAAGGTGACATTAAAATAACTCAGGGATTATTTTGAACTGATCTTAAGTGCAGCAATAACACTTGATCTTCTGGCTGATGATGGGTGGCTGATGTGATGAGGCACAAAGCTTCACATCTCTTCCTGAGGCAGTAGTTCTAGAAATCCTCACAGACTCCAGCTAGGCTGCGTTATTTTAACCCTAAAGTATAACCTGGACTTGTTGGTTGTTCCACTGCATCTGGCGGTTACTGTAAAAGGGCTTGAAGTGAATTGGTCAGATTTTGGGTAATGGAGCATGTATGTAGAGACACCAATATTTTTTACATTTCCTTTTACTTGCTAAGTTGCCAGAAATGCCACACTGATAATGTTGCTCAGTATCTGTGGGATGTGTAAATGAGCAACTGTTGCTCACAGGTTTGCCATTTAAACTTTAACAGTGATGTCACAAATGGTTTCCGCTTCCCCCAAGTGGCCAAAAAGCCAGCTATTGCAGCTTTAAGACAATCAAGACTTTGGATTTGTGCGCTTGTTGTGGAGTTATGACCCCTAGAGGCCAAAGAAACCAGTTCAATCTTTAACGATAAAAAATATCTGATTAACTGAACAAGTCTGACCAAATACTTCAGCTCCTGTGCTACGGGCACAATTTGTTCAGTGCTCACTGTTGAAGTTTGAAACCCAGTTCTACTTTAACACTGATGAAAGAACCGTGTGGCACTTCTTGTGCTCTTGACGTGCAAATTATATGGCACTACATGGAAGCACAGAGTCCAAAGTAAGACACAACTAAAGCTTTAATGAAGTAAAGCTCCTTGGGGATCTAACGAGCTTCTTCACCTCAGTGCAGCTCTTCACAGTGAATCTAAGTGGGCCTACTGTGTTGATATCTCTCTCTGTGTTGCTTCCAACCAGGTCATCCTCAGCAGCACCACAAGATTAATTACAGGAAGGGCTGTATCTGTTACAGCCTGCTGCCTCTCAGGCACATGCAAGAGCAACTAACTGGCCACTCTTTGGGTTTAGGTACTGAGCTTGATGAAATGACAGCTGGCCAAAAAACCTGTCTGGATGATAGAATAACTTGGATAAGACTGAATGAAAACACAGGGTCTTCTACTGTAGGATGGATATGAATATATTGTAAGTCACCAAGCAGGTGCATCATTCCTCATTGTGTATTTAACACTGCCCTTTCTTATACATTAAAAAGTTAAAGAGAGAGATCGAAGGTCACCCTTCAACAGGTGAAAAGAGATTAGGTGCAGTTACAAGCAGGTTCTGAGAACAGCAGGCCACAGATGGCACTGGTGAGGATGTAACTCTACCCGAGCTTGTTCAGATAATGAAATGAGATCATGCTCGCAAAGCACATCAGAACAGGCCCAGCCCTCAGCTGTACGTGGCCTTATGAAATAACAAATAACCTGCATGCTTGCCTCCAGGACCATGAGCCAGATTACATAAATTTACAGCCTATCTTCTTTTCTCTGCCTTAACATTACTCCCAGCAGGGACTCTCTTTGGGCTTAATAAAAGCTTTTATCCCGGTCTATTTTGCGCTGTGACTTAATGGCACGTCCTACCCAAACACCACAGGCAGCAGTAACAGTGTACTGTGGCACACGAGGCTAAAAGGGTCTTCCGCTTCCTGTGGTTTGATGAGCGATGGTGATTGTTTTCAACTAGAACTTTGGTCTTTCCTGCCTGTTAGAACATCTGCTCTGCTTACTACAAAGATTAAGAACATTTTATCTGTGAGGACTAGCTGTTTGTCAGCAAAGATCACCAGTAAGCAAGTCGATTGGATTAAAAACAACCAGCATGTACATATTCTCAAACACTACTAAACTCCATAGAGCACAAAACACTCAGTGTCATTGAGGCTGCACTGCATACATGCAGTAAATAAGGATTTATGAGTGCAGGAACCAGTTAATGCCTGAGGTCTCTGATGTCAATATAAATCATATAATGATTGAAATACATACAATTTTCACATCAACTGTAACCTTTTTAACTGAAACAATATCATTTTATCTGCAAGATTTCTGAGCTTTAAACTTCATGCATACAGCAAAAACGGTAGATTACTGCTTCTCTGCGAGAGAACTGACAAAAATAATATTAACGAAGCCACTGTAAGATCTGCACTAAAGGACTCAGAACAGGGGCAGAAAAACCGACTCAAGGACACTTGAGCTCTCTGTTTCATCCATCCATCTTCAGACCTGTTCTGTTTGGGTCTGTCGCTACATGCTAGATTCCTGGGAATTCAGTGTTGATGTTTTACCCAGCCACATCTCCAGGATAAATCTGGTCAAATAAGACATTTCAGTTTTAATCTGGTCACTGACAAATAATAAGAGTCAACCTATCATTCCAAATATTCTGCAGTGGAACAGGTTAAAACAGTTAATTGTGACCTCAAATGTAAGACAGAGGCGCATAAGTGATGGAGTATGATGATTTTTTTTTTAGTTATAAGGGGAAAAGTACTTACTCAGAGGAATCTATGAAGTATATTACAAGGGCTCCAATGCTGAGAGCAAACACGAGCACCACCTGAAAAATAAAGACCATTTTATTTTAGTTAAAGTGGTACAGTTATATCATACACAAAAGTACTTTAGAACAGTTACACGTTTAATCTTTAGATGCTCTGCGCGCTAGGATAGGGAAAAAAGAAAAGGACACCTGCTTTATGCATCTGACATGTGGCAGGCAACATTCATTTACTGTAAAGTTTAAAATGATCTGTGGGATGAGCAGGAGCCTAGGAACCTTTAACTTATGATGATGATAGTGCAAAATAACCTGCAGACAACAATAATGAAAATAATCATGAATTGTAGGTGTAGATCTTTTATTCTATAACTTATTTTCTCAGAAGCATAAACAAATGGACAGCCTCAAAGTTATTTTAGATATAATGAAATAATGTGTTTCAAGGTGTGTAGCTAATGTTTATTAGCTAATAATGAGCATCAATAGACCTTGATACATCTCGTCAGCCTGTTTTAATTGTGTTATATAAACCAAATGAAAGCGTCACAATTTTGAACAGCAGTGTCACAGTCAGACTTGTCAGTTATTGTACATCTGACAGTGTAAATAAATACAAATCAGTCCTGTTCATCATGAAAACTGGCAGTGGAGGAGTGGGTGAGGCGACAGGACATGGTTTGACAAACACAAACATGGCGGGATTCAGCCGAGGCCAGAGCATCGGGGGCCACAGTGAAGCAGCGTGATAACAAAACCCACGGCATCGCTTTTATTCTGCCACTTTCTGCAGGGGGAATGATACTGCTCAATAACCCTAAGCCTGAAGTAAGCTGACAGACTTTCAGAGTAAACTGGGAGGAAACTTGCAGGGTAAAAGATCCAAAGGTGTTAGTGAACAAAGCAAGAGTTGTCAGGTGACAGCCCTGACACTGGTAGATCTCAGGAGAAACTTAATCACTGGTGCAAACGCCAAGGAAATCAGGCTAAACTGTTAACACATGGGTAAGAAACGGCAACAGTTAGCATGCTGAGATATTAAGAGAACAAACTGAGCTTGAGGTGGCCAGTGTTAGTGTTCTTTAAACAGTTATTGTACAATAGTTGACATGACAAAGGTCAAAAACCATAGCAGCCCATTGCTAATGTAGATAAGGGCTCGACCCAGAGAGGCACATAAGAACTGTTAGCAGAACAAATATTTTACATCTTGACATACACTACCAGGTTAGCTGTGACCTTACCTGGCTTTCATCTAAATGACACAATAGCCATCTGAACAAAGAAACCGCAGGGTATCCATAATTAACGAGCCCGGCTTAATTAACTTCCATGAGGTGAAATTGTACTGTCAAGCTGCAACCACTGAAGGTTCTGAAATGACAAAAAGCACCAATCGACCCTTCCCTTTTGAAAGCCAGGAAAATCTCTTTAAGCCCCTGATGAGTCTAGTTTAGAGACAGGAAACAATGCTGGTGCAACCCTAGAAATGCTAATACCACTGGCAAAAAATAAAACACACTGGCTGTAACAAAGAGTGGGCAATCATGACTGAGATTATCAATGAGGTGTCAGACAGTGGTCATTATTCATCTCAGTCACCTGATAACGATGCATCACATCTGTATCACCAGCCACCCTCTGGCCATCTGTCTGGCATATGGCTCCACCCACAAGGGGGCACAGTGAGCTCAGTCTCATAACAGACCGACCTCGGCATGATGACCAAGATCTGCCAAGACACACTCAGTCCAATATATTTCTGCCAACGATATCATTTCCAAGATGAGAAATTGTAATTCAATTAAATAAAGCATCAAATATTGTCTCTAAAATGCTTTAACAACAATCATTCAGTGCTGGGAAGGTAGTGGTAAAGAACAATTTTTAATGAAACAGATTTAAAAAATTCTTGATTGTGGCAGAACAAGTCTCAAGTCAAATTTGAAGTCATTTGAAACAAGTCAAGGCCAAGTCAAATCAAGCCCATGAGGGCAAGTCAAAGCCAAATTTTAATGAGCTAATAGCATTAAGATGAACATTATTCATGTCTATTTGAACTATTTGTGTTGCTCTGTGAGCTGCTACAATCTTAAAACATTTTCTAAAATGTCTTCTTCATATCTGAGAGCATGTCCTTTCAATTTGTAGCCTAAAAATTAAATATTCACGTTTTAAGGTTGTTAGTCTTGTTTTGTTATTGGTGCAGGTCTTTGAGGGTAAAGACTGACTGAATTGAGGGGTCAATGGACAGAGGGCCATGTATGTAGTATAGATCAGAAAAATCTGTAATTTTTAGCATTACAGATAAATAAAACTGACTTGAGCATCTTTGCTTATAAGTCTAAAAATATACTAAGTCAAGTTTTGTTTCACAGCAGTCTAGTCCAAGTCAAATGTCTTCTGTTTTTTTTTTTTTTACTAAAGTGTGATAAATCTCATGTCTACAATCACTGAACACAATCGCTAAAACTGGAAAATGAGGCTACCTGAAAAAAAAAAGCCTTTTGCAGAAATCTCAAAGCTGAAGTGCTGAAAATTTTACTCAAAAATATTTGTATGGCTTTTTAATGTAATAATACATAATTATATATAAGAAAAAATGATGAATCTGAATCATGTACATCCATTTTCACAGATTACAGTTACTTGACAAATTAAAATAAATGATTTACAAAGTCCAGTCCAGTAGTTCACTGCCTGGCAGAGTGCACCTGCAGGTCTCAAGCATTCACAAGTCAGACTATAAACATCCCACTCATGCTCTTCCTCTGCGCCTCGAGTGTGACTCACTATCGACCAGTGTGAAGAACCTGCCAAAGAAACAGGAACTTCACCTGGGCAGAACATTTACTTTTGCAGCAAGTGAGGAAATCCCGGGGGAGGGGGAGGGGTGGGGCACCATCCTCACTGACATGTCAGAAAAAAATGTTCTTTTTGTTTGTAGCTGAGGAAAGAGAGGCTGACAAATGTCTTCTGGCAAGGAAAAAACATCATCATTAGTTAATATAATGTTATTGCAGCAGTCCAGTTAAAAGATGATTTGGTATCTGAGGGCTCATTGAGATTCTTTTCAAATCCTGCAGGAGGAGGTTGTGTTGCTCTGTGAGCTGCTACAATCTTAAAACAGGACTGGGAAAAACCAGGAGTTAGGTTGTTCAGTATTTCCTTAAAGCCTGAAGTCACTGTGGGATCAAAACTGCCACTGGTAGCAGGACAGAGATATGTGTGTGTGTGTGTGTGTGTGTGTGCGTATTCAGCTGACTTTAGTTCAGTAAACCTGTCCCATCTGAGCTCCTTATTCCTATGTGTCACATCCACTCACTTTAACTGTGTGCAACTTCCCTGCTCACTGGAGCTCAAGGCCCTGACTCATTTGTCTGCCCTCAAATGCCACAGGGATTAATAAAGCATCTTGAAGATAATGTACTCATAAACCAAAGCCCGGCCCTACATAACAGAAGAGATAAAATAAAATTCATAATAATTTGCCAGCCGTAAACTGAATGGTACAATTATAGACTTTGATATAAATTATAACATAAGTGGATCTAAAGTTTTTTTAAACTTCAGTTTACAGTTTCAACCAACAAACAATTATTCTCTTGTATAAAAATTGATTTGGTCAGGTCATAAATTCTATGCAGCAAAAGCTTTATAAACTACAGTACAGTCTTGTAAAGTATAATGCTGTAATCAGTAATCCTTTGTATTATTTTGTTTTTGGCTGCATAGACATCAGTGATCCTACTCATTAGCTTTACCACAAAATAATTTAATTACACATGATTTGTTTTGACAATTGTGTGCCTGTATTAGATTTAAAGCCACTGTAAAGGTTTGTGTGGTGGGCCTTGAATTGTGCGAGACACCTTTGGACATTGTGACTGTCCTCACTAACCAGACATTGCTTACAAGGCTCCTGCACTGTTTATCCTTTGCCCAGAGTGATAACAGCAAACTAGCATGTTTACAACAGCCATAAACATGGACTGCAGCCCTGACAAACATAGTGAATGAGCATGTGAGACAGTTACACTGTTATTGCTGTTAAACTTCTACTTTACAGCTGAACATAACATCTGTAACATACGATGCAACTTCAGCCCTACAATCTCAAGCTATTGTTTTTAATGTATCCATGCACACAGTTTGCAAAAGCAGTAGGCTACTGGCTGCAAAACCACTATGATAGATGACGATGACAGCCGACCTTATGACCTTTTAACACTTGGAGCTCATAACATAAACACCCAGTGTTTGTCAGGCCTTATATACAGCTACACTATTATGGCTAATGTTAATCCTGATTATATTTTTTGAGTGACATGCAACTGCTAACATCACATACCTTTAATTTACACTTTGAGAAAAGACTGAGAGGAGAATAAGTGAGTTGTCTTCATTGTATTTATCAGAGTTGGAAGCTTTATTCACAGTGTTGTACCAAGATATACGACTGAATTCGATGTAAATGACCACCTAAATCTCATTTTAGTTGAAAGTGCGAAATTGCTCTTCATGAGACAAGACAATAAGAGGCTGCAGTCACTGACAACACCAGCAGAAGGATGTTAAATATTATACAATCTGTAGAATATGGTAAGAAATGGGCTCATTGTGTGCCAGTCTGATGTACAAGTTGCTTTGATAATCTAGTGATTCTTGGCTGAGGCGAAGCTGAAGGACACAGACGGGTTCATTGTAGGCGTAAGATGCAGGATCAATGACTGTGCTACAGATGGCCTGGTTTATCAAGGACACAAGAATGATCAGTAGCAGCAGTGGGGTTGAATGACCATGTTTAGCCATGTTGGGTCATTAGTACTAATGTGCTAAGAAAAGAGGAAATAAAGCACAAAAAACCCCAAGTATGCCTTTTTTTGAAGTATGTAACAGCATTACATTGGTTTCATGACCCTGTGGCTCCTGTGCTTGTTGCCAGTGTTCAGAAACCACAAATCATAGTCATAATGTTAATAATACCACATACTGACACAGAAAAATAAATAAGAATAAACAAACTGGAAATAATACTGAAGTGTAGACTAGCTGTGATG